TTCCTTGCTCTCTTTTCTGCCTTCTTCTACAAACATGATCCACAAAGTTAGCATTATTTTAGGGTAAAAAATTAAATTAAACAAAAAAAAAAAAATTGAGTTGTTAAACCCATTACTAGCCGATCAGCGCTTCTAGCTCTCTCTTTCTTTCTTGTAGTGGGAGCTGTGGCTTGTTGAACTGGTGGAGTTGGGTTGACTACATGACTCACTGGAGGATCTTCTTGGGTCATGTTCACTAGTTCTTCCTCAGCAATGCGTGGCAGGTTGTCTTCTCCATGAGGTGGCTGGTTGTCCTCAACAGGGGGTGGTTACTCCACAGATGGTTCATTCTCCATTTGGGGCACCTAAAAATGGTAACCAAAGTATAATTAACTTAGTGCACCAATATATCCATAGAAATAAAGCTTGCATGTTACTTACATTCGGCGGTTGGCCTTTACACGATCTGGAATTGTGACCTTTTTGGAAGCATTTCTGGCAGGTTATTTGTCTTCCTTGTCTTCCCATTTTTCTCTTTCCTTCCCATTCTTCAAGATTTCTTTTTTTCTTAGGCCTGCCAAGCATCTTCCGTGGTGCAGGTGGCTGTATGGCTGGCATCCCTGTTGGTGTCCATTGATTCATGCCTTCAACAACTAGTACCTCATATGCATAAGAGGCCCTAAATCTTGATAACTTGTACCAATCTGAAACATATTCTTCAACTCTCAGTTTTTTTAAACTCAATACAGTCATGGCATGTCTACAAGGAATCCCAGATATATCCCAATACCTACAGGTGCATTTTCTATCTTCCAAATATACAATATAAGTGTTTCTGCCTGAATTGACTTTATTTTTACTATTCATGTAATCCTCAACTTCAAAACCACCTCCACCAGGCCATAGGACTTTGCATTTCTTGCTACCTTCCCTATTCCGTACAATCTTAGTCCAAATCTTAGGCCCAAATTCTCCCACAAACTTAGCAGAACCAAACTCTCTCCTACCAACAGTTCTTGCTGCACACATAGCTCTCATTTCTTGATTCATAGAAATTAGTGCCATGTGTCGTGCATCAACAAGTAAGGCATTGAACACCTCACACATGTTATTGTCAACCACAGATGACTTAATTTCGGCTTTGAAAAAAGCTCTGCTCCAGTGCTTGGGATCCACATTCATTATGTCATCCCTTGCTGCAGGCTTCAATTTGCCTAACTCTACTAAGGCTGCATTAAATTTTGCCTCATTCAGTGCCTTCACACATCTCCAAAATAAGGCTTGCAATTCCTTCCTGTCATAACCCAATTTTAATTGGGGCTAAGTGAGAAAAGTAAAAGTTCGTGGACCATTTCACAAAAGGTGTAAAGCTTGAAGGGCTGAGATGAA